TACAAACACAAGAGGTGGATGTGAATGCCAGATGTGGTGTGTGTGGAGGAGTGGGGCCTGGGGAAGAACATTTGGAGGCGGGATATGAAGACAGCATTGTTGAGACAGGGAGGTAATGTTGTTATATTTTGATCAACTCGACCAGAGAGAAATGTTCACATATTGAAATGATCACCTTGTAAGCTAAATAATATGATTGAATGTATTAAAAAAATGCAAATAAAAAATAAATTAAAAAAAAAGATTCAGGTCAATTTTGTAAAAAAAAAGAATAAAGTAATAATTAAAAATAATAAGGGCATAGTAAAAGGGAAAAATCATTAGGAAATTACAAAAGCATGTAATGAAGACAGATAAGGTCAAGAAACTGATTAAAATGTGGAAATACAGATCCAGAATAATTATTCTGCTTGCGTTATTATTTATTTACTTGTTTTTGGAGAGGTTTTTGCTATAGGGCATGTGTGCTTGCCAGAGAGACAGAGCAAGACAAAGAGAAAGAAAGAGAGAAATCAGCCCCCCGGGGGGGATGGCCATGCTGCAATTCCTTCTCCTCCATTCTCCTCTCAAGATCTTGGACACGCACGCACATGTGCCCCACATGAGTTTAAGCCACTGGGTCTGAGACTTGAACAGCAGTTGACTACATGGGAGTCCAGTGACATAACCATTACACTAACTGCTGGTCCCTATGTTTTTAAAAGCATAATAATTAGGTAATAACTAAAATCATTTTTGAAAGGCAGTTTAATGCAGACATGTACATTTATTTTAATTTTTGAAAGAACTTTATTTTTAAAAATAGTCTTTAATAGAATTATTTTATATAATAGGTCCATCAAGTAATGTTAATTTATTAATTAATGGAAACATTTTAACTAAATATGCAGCCAGTATGGTGCCTTTTTTCACTCTCAAAAGTATACCAGTTTCGACAATAAAATTAGATAGTCATCCTAATTATAGCTGAAGTAGCACGTTTCTTAAAGCGTTGACCTTTCCTGGGGTCAACAGGTGTCACGGCAGTTAAGACACTGGGCTCCTACATGGCCAACTTTGGTTTGAGCCCCAGACATGCCAGTGTACATGTTCCCAAAATCTCAGGAGGAGAATGGAGGAGAAGAGATTGTGAATTGACCATCCCCCCAGTGGGTGATTTCTCACTTTCCTTGCCTCTGTCTTTCTCCAGCAAGCACACATCACCCGATGGCAAAAACCTAAGAAAAAAAAAAATTGTCTTTTCCTAATGGTAAACTGGAAGGACCCAGGGCACTGATCATTTAAAGTTTCTGATATATCATTAGATGTATAAGAAACACTAGGGCAAAAAGAAGCCAACCAAGAACTAAAGGCAAACTCATAAACATCTTCCCACACATAAAAAACAAAGCTTTCATCAAAAGACAAGGATATGGACTCACTGTGTGGATCTTACCTGCAAATTCATCAATAATATTAGTGGAACCCGGATTCTGAAATTTGACAAACTTATCTGTCCACCATGTAAGTCCAGTCTTTAACATTGGAACTTTGATATACATGGATGAATTAAGCTTATATGAAAGAGTGATAGTGTCTGTAAGGAAATTGAAATATGGGTTAGAGATGCAAGCTGGTAATTTTGCCACCCTATGGAACTAGAAACAGACACAGCTGAAAAATAAATCAGAGGTTTTGCAGACCCTCAACACGCCCACACGCCATAGATGATGCTGGAATTATAAGACCATTCTTCTTCCTGCCAAGGTGGAGCCAATTACTGAAAAATACTCAAGCTTCATTTAACTCATGTTTCCTAATTATTCTTTCAGATTTCTGGCAAGGGAGAACTTATTTGCAAATGAAGTACTGTAAATTAGTGTTCCGGCTTGTCAGGGTAGTGTCTAGAGAATTTAAAAAAAAAATAGCAAACAAACAAACAAACAAAAACACAAAACAAACAAAAAACAACAAAACAAAACTTGCTACTCAGCTGCAGATGTGATCTTTGAACATTTAGGCTTTTACACACACTTATGAGAGGATACACCATAGAGAAAGGAAAAATCACCTACCATTGAACATGCTGTTGGCAATAGCACCGCAAGGAGCGATTGGGGTTTCATTGTGGGACCTTTTGAATGGAGCACAGTCATCAACGGCCTGCATGTAAGATGATACAGGAGTGAGAAATGCTTTAAGTGAACTCTCTTAGAATGTACAAAATGAGAACACTAGCCATGCAAATCAACTCACACCGATTTATTGTCATGGACCAAAATCACAGACTGCTACCTGTTTTTCTCAGGCTTCTGGCTTACTTAGACTAGGACATTTTTATATTTTGTAGATATATATATATACATACATATATATATATATATATGTATGTATGTACATATATATCTCAGTGTGTGTTTTCCACACTATAATAAATAGCATACCAAAAATGTCTGCAGGAAGGAACTTTGCCTTTGTGTGTTGTATATCACACTAATCCTACACTGGAATACATTATTAAAACTTGTCATTGAAGTATAACTTATATTCAGAAAAGTACATGTGAGTCTACACCTAGATGACTTATCACAGGGAATCCATCCATGCACCCTCCAGAAGACATTTTTAAAATAGTGATTGCTAAAAATCAACTGGATATCACTTCTATATAATGTTAATATGGAAAAGGTTTCCTTTTAGCCATTTTTGCTAGCATGCTGAGTAATATCTATTAAGAGTAAAAATTTGCAATTCCTAGTTCTGAAAATACATTAAATTAAACCTAAGGCTTTATTATTATTATTATTATTTAGATTTTTGTCACAAGGAACTCACTTGCAAGAGAGAGAGAGAGATTCAGAGAGAGGGAAAGTGAGAAGTCATTCCCCAGGGGGGTTGGCCATGCCACAATTCCAGTTTCCTCTTGGGATTTTGGGCATGTATGCATACCACCTGAAGTGTTTTTCAAGCCACTGGGTCTGGGACTCGACCCGTGGAGTCAGCCATGTGGGATCCAGCTCCTTAACCACCATACCATCTGCTGGCCCAAACCAAAGGCTTTTGTTGAATAGATTAGAGCCATGATTTAGACTGGATAAAGGCCCCAACTATAGGAAGAACAATAGTAGGTATAGTGTAAGCCAAACTGAGACCAATTAGTCAAGGTTACTATCAAAATAGTGCATGAAACATAACCATTTTGGTGGATAAGATTCACATAGCTGTTCTCAAGATAAAAAGGGTTGCTTCTCAATAACAGTTATCCCAGGGACCAACAGATGGAACAATGGTTATATCGCTAAACTCCCACTTAGTCAATCACAGCTTGAGTCCTGGACCAGTGACTTAAAACTTATGCTGAGTGCATGTGCATGCAAGCCCAAAATCTTGAGAGGAGAATGGAGGAGAAGGGATTGTGGCATAGCCATCCCTCCTGGGAAGGAGGAGGTGTTTCTCACTTTCTACCACTCTGTCTCTCCAGCAAGCATGTGTGCCTATAGAAAAATAACCTCTTGGGAACTCAAATGGCTTACCCAGAAGAAAAAGTTTAACCCAATTAAAAGATTGGAAAATAAGCTGAATAAACAACTCTCTAAGATGACATACAAACAGCCAAAAAGCAAATGAAGAATGCTCAACATCTCTCATCTTAAGGGTGATGCACATATAAATCACAATGAGATACCACCTAACCCCAGTCAGAATGGCAAAGATTAAAAAAAAAAAAAAAAAAAACAAAGTGCTGGAGGGAATATGGTGAAAAGGGAACTCTCCTACATTGTTAGTGGGAATGTAAACTGGCCCAACCTCTGTGGAGAACAATATGGAGGTTCCTCAAAGACATTCAAATAGAACTACCGTATGATCCAGCAATTCCACCCCTGGGTATCAACCCAAAGGACAGGAGTATGCTCAGTTGGAAAAGCAGTTGCACATCTATATTTATTGTAGCCTTATTCACGATTGCTAAGACATGGAACCAACCCAAACGTCTACAGACAGATAAATGGATTGAAATAGTGTGGCATATATACTCCATAGAATACTACTCAGCCATAAAAAAAAGCAACAAGGCCCTGGAATTTGATAGAAAGTGGATGAATGTGGAAGATTTGTTGCTGAGTGAAGCAAGTCAGGCTATAAAAGAGAGACATTGTATGTCTCCATTTAACATATACCAACTGCCCACACTCTAGTAGAGACTGAAAGACTGGAGGACATAAAAGCATTAAAAATTGTTATGGACTCTAGAGACAAAGTGGAAAGA